GCACACAAGAACAATACATGCACGCATCACCAACCTCTGCCATTGAGCGGATAAAACCAATTTTAATTTATTTTCCATGCGCCACCAAAAACAACTTTGGCTTCAAAAATGTTTGTTTAGACATTTGAACAGATGATGCCAAGCCCACACGCACGGCTGATATAAATTTTCGATAACAGTAAAGTTACGTTTTAAGATTGAGATTGAACATGTATTCAACCAAGAAATCTTGTTTAAAAACATAAATACAATATTAATATAGCTGATCAAAAAGCACTTCCTTTTGAAAATCGGCTCAGTTTATTTTATTTTTGAGAGTATAATATTAACATGAATTTCTTGGAATGTAGTATTAATTAAGTTTTGAGAAATTTTCGAAAGAAAATTGGAATTGTGAACTAAAGAATAATTATCCTGAGTTATTGATAATTATTTCTGTTTACTCTTTAATATTCATAAACATGTTGGCACATTGTGAGCAATTTATGCAGCGAGTCTTGAACTTTTGCCTACCTGGCTCAGTTTGCTGACAGGTGGCAATGCTTACAATACTCACATTGCTGGCAACATAATTCAATTGGATTTGCAAAGACTTTTGCAGCTCAAAGCCTTTAACAGGAACTGTGTGGTTGAGCTGACCATTTCTTTTTTTCGAGTTTCGAGCTGAAATGAGAGCATTTTTCCGTACGCCTGCTGCCTTTGGAGTTGTTTTGGCTCAACTTGTCATTGTTGGCCCCTTTGAATTTGATATGGGTCACAGCTTAGATATCAAGCTTAACGAAACGGTAACGCAATGTGTCTGATGCCGCCCGTTTAATACCCTTATAAAATATCTGTCAATTTATTAGCCCATTTATGTTCTAATCAGAATGCACTGCCAGTTTACTGGCGCAATTGTAATATGTTCAATATTCAATAAACGCAGATAAGCGCAAAGTCTGGCGAATTATTTCGAAAATATCAATTTGCAAAATGGAAATATTTTTACAAATGAGGCACTGGCAAAGCCAAAAACTAGGCAACATTATCACTGCTCATAATCAATTACAAATGCTGCTGCCAGTTGTAAAAAATTTAACATAAATATACCAACAGGAGTAACATTTGTATGCCATTTTCGTAAAGGGCAGAAATGAATGCATTACATGAAATAACGCCCAGAATGTCCACTTAATTGAAAATGTGGCAGGCAATGAGAATATTACATTATCTGTGGCATAGAGCTGCTAATGCAGTTGCAATAACACGAACATGCGGCGTATGCGCAACACAGATAATAAAATACCAGAATCGGTTACATAGACACATGTGTGTATGTGTGTGTGTGTGTATGTGTGCCTGTGTGTGTACGTGTTTGTTGTGTTCAGCACGCGTGTACATGAAAAATCACATATACTTACAATATTCTATAAGTAGGGGCAAGCACGCACAGGACGACAGGGTGGGCAAAGGAAGTAACTTGCGCGAGAAAGTCACTTTCTCAGCTCGCTTTAATCTATAATTTGCTTCATGAAATTTAATTTGCTGTCGCCTCGGATACTTTTTTGGCAGCGACCATGCCCCTTCTAGCCATCTGGTCCTTTTTGGCCTTGCTGCACTTAACAAGGTTTGCATTGTGCTTTGATTACTTACCCATTGTTGTTGCTGTGGTTGTCGTTGTTGTTGTCGTTGTTGTTGCTTACATTGTTGTTACCGGAATTGTTGCCTTGGCTTTTGGCCGCCGCATTTCTGTTTTCCATTTTGCGTCTTCGAATTAAATCAAGCAGCCGCGTTTCCGACATTCGTTTTTCTATTTGTATTCAAGCAGTCAGACGGCAACAGCCAAGTTTTTTTCGCCGGAAAACGCAGCTTCCGCTTTTTATAAATACTCAATTGTGCGCGAAAAAAAGAGATCGTGCCACAAAAAAGAAGAAAAAAAAAATGCCAGCCAGGACGACAACTCGTGCAGTTATTTTGACATTTCTGTCTGTGTTGCCATTGAAAATTTTTTCTTCTGTGTCAAGTATCATCTGAGGCGTGACAAGCTATCCCGTCAAAGGTGTGACTGGATGACACGTGGACGCTTGGATGCCATTTTAAGTGGATTCGCTGTGACAACCATGTGTCAAACGATTGACACGGCAGCTGGAAAGTATGCTAGCAATCGGAATGTGTGCATCCTTCATGATTGTATCCTGCAGACAAAATGCATATGTGGAGCTTATTATGCAAGTGCATTCAAATGAAGCTGACAAATCACAAAATGTTTTTAGCACCGGTCGAAGAAAAACTAAAGTTTTTGAAATCTTTTCTATAATGTATATTTTTTCTTTTTTTTTTCAATGGGTATCTTTGTGCGAAACCTGTCAAGTTGCCGCATTTCTGTTTGGTCGTTGTACAAGTATGTTAAACATGCCGCTCGTGGCTGATAACAACAACAGAAACATTTGCGACATGTGTTCACCATGGATTTTTATCCGTCATCATCATGATATGAATTTTGTCTTTCTCATCTCCGGCTCTCGCTGTGCACATTCTGCTCTGCTTTTAATTTTAATTAAATTGTTAGCCAAATCACCACTCTGTGCATGTTAGCAGATTGCTTGTTTGTGTTTCTGTGTGGCCAAAGCTCGTCAAAGGTTAATTCCACTGAAATTCCAAAAATAAACAGAACCACGCAACTCACAGTTTAAGTTTAGTTCACCTGCGTCTATCACTGTCAAAATAAAATGTAAAAAATGTAAAAATGCAAGAAAAAAAAGGAAAATATGTTGAAACTCTTTTGGGGTTTCGCACTGGACGTATACCCAATGCTTTTGAAAAACTATAGCTGTCAATAAATTGTTGTTTAGCATAACTCACCGTGCCTCAGTTTGCGGTGTTGTTTTTCCTTTTGGATTTGCTTTTTACCACATTTTCACGCAATGAAAAGCGGTTATTGTCGGTGACCCCTGAATCCATTTACTGGGGGTGTTAGATTTTTTGTCGAAATGAATTCTGAAGCGCAAATTTCTGCACCATGAATATGCCGGAGCATTAATTAAAAACGACTCAGTCGCTCCAACATTTTGCGGTCAGTTTTAATGGTCGTATACCAGGGATTCGTGGGAGGTGGTTGCGTATGACTCTAACGATTGCATTTATGGACATTGCACATGACGCAGCGGCATGCAACAGTAGAACAGCAGGGAAACAAGTGCGCTTAATATGCATTTTAAATTATGCTTCTCTACAAATTGAGCTGCAATGCGCGATTTTACAGTGAACATAACAAGCCGCAGCAGATAAATCTAACCAATTTGCATAATTCTAATTGTTTATTGTGTTATCAGACTTTAATAAATCAGACACTTATGAATTATTTACTTTCATGACTATTTCGTCAACTTGAAATTCAAATACGTATTTAATGATAAATGCCTGAGTACTGTACAATTTACTTAAGCCGCTTATTGTTCAACATTCACTGACGAATCACAAATGGTCATCTATGGGTTGGGTGGAGTTGGGGCAGGCATTGTGGCAACTGTTTACTGAGCGGGTTACCGTCGGAGTCGTAACGATTTGTCAGTGCTGTCCAAGCTGCAATGCTGCAATGCCCGTTTCCTGAACCTGTCCAGCACGTCACGTGAGCAGCAAATTGTCATTTCAGTGCACTCACTCGACTCGCGAAAAGTTTGGCCAACAACAGTGTAGCTTATGACCAACAGACCTGACATTTGTGTGCCACATTACGTCACGCACGCACACACGCACACACGCAAGGACGCACGAACGGACACATTCATTTCCTGGCCATGGTCCATGGCCATCATAAATAACAATTTTGGCCGAATGAAGCACAGTGCAGATCATATCGAGAAAACGACAGAGCGACAGAGCGAGCAGGACACACAGCGGAGCCACTCACAGGCCAGTCAGATAAATTGAAATGAGAATGCCGTAGGGATGACCTTTGTCGCACCTTAATAATTGCTGGGCCATTACCAAATGGATAAAAGCTGAAATCATTTTTGCCACGCGCTTTTAATTGTTATAAGCCAAAAGGTTGCACAGGTATGCAACAACTGTAGCCAACTAAAATGCGTTGCCATAAATGAAGACATTAAACTTTTCGCATGAGCCAACACCTTTTACAACCGGTAAGCTTTTCTCCCCACCCGCCAACGCCATCTCCAAACCTAATATCTACTGCCTACTCTGCGGCACTGAGGCTGTCAGCACTTTTGCTTTAGTTGCCAGCATGCAGGATTAAAGCGGAACACTTTATCATTAAAAACTTGACAGGCAACGAAATAAGTTTCGCCGTCAGCAGCATTTTGCCACATGCCACATGGACAAGGACGTGGTCGAGGACAAACGTCAGACGCAACACAAAAATTTTAATGGCGGTGTCAGAACCCTTTGCACAGAACATAGCCATGAGTATAGATGTTCCGCGACTAAACTCTTTATTAATTCAATTTGCAAAGTTTGAAAATGTGCCAAGCACTTCATGTAATATCTAAAACAATTTTCAAAATCAATGCAAATGCTAATTTTTTGAAGTTTTTTTTATAGTTGGTAATTTAAACTTTTTGCCAAATTTTCAACTTTGCGTCATTGCAAATGATTTTGCCAGAGTGGAAAGTAATTTAGAGCGTGCCACTTCTAATGATAAATGATTTATGCCATTTGCACTTAATTGTGGAAGAATTTTTGATAAATTAACACATCGATTAAAATATGTCCTTCAATCATAATGACCGTTAGGACCATGGCCAACAGCATCGACTCGTGCACATGGCATTTATCCAAAAATAATCTACATAATCTTTCAATTTTGAGGTGGCAATACGTGACCGGATTTTGTTCCCAAAAACTTGGCCAGCAGCTTAACGCTTCATTGCTTCATTGATATGGCGATATTCGTGGCGCCGACAACCAAAGTGCTTGGCTTTATAACTGTAACTGTGTGTGTTTAGTGGAATCACATCCTTGTGAGCCAACATAATCTCAGACATAACAGGGACAGGACATTCTTTAGTTTAAAGCAGCTGATAGAACACTTTATTAATTTTTTTGTTATCCTAAAATACATCGAGTTCGAAATTTATTTTACATTCACACCAATTTGTCAGTTAAACTAAAATTTGTTGCACATGCCTACCAAATGTAGATACATTGTGCGATAATAGTGTACACTGGATTGTGTAGAATCAGTTTAGTAAAATTCCCAATGACTTGTAGCCATACCGTTGTCAAGTCACTTCTATAAGTGTTAAATATCTCCTCTGTCTGTCGTGTGCATAAATAACTCCTAATGCGAAATAATTGTACTTCTGTGTACGATTCCTAAATTTGTCTGTTTGTGTAAATAGTGGATGTGAGTTGTTTTGGAAACTACTTTGGTTGCTCGGGGCAGGCCATTTGATAGAGAAACTGGACCAGGGTGCGCGTCGGTCGACCCGTCATGCGTCCAGCACTTAGATATGGAACCAGGCCAAATGTGCTCAGCAGTCCCGTGCCAAATGTATCCAGATGCGCCCAATCACTGCACGGCACCAGTTCATGAAGGACGGCAGCTGCCAAACACGATGAGGCGTGACCATCGCCATCGTTAGCCAAATCAAAACTGAGATTTTCAGCAACACGATCCTTGTAGAAGCGCCAGAGTGGGAAGCGCCACAGGCGGTCCCCAGTTAGCGAGCCAGCACGCTGGAATTGCTTCCAAATGTAATGCGAATTCGACCAAATACCGGTTGCGCCACCGCCAACGGCTTTCTTGATGCCAATGCACATGGAACCCACATCGACTACAAGTCGCGGCTTATACGTAATCTGGCCATACAGCATGGGATCGGCAATGACAACGACTCCAGCACGACTCACGTTGCGCACAGCCATCGTTTTAGCATTGAGCAGGGTGACCACATCGCCTGGCTTGCAGGACATGCCGGATGGGAGATTCTCGCAGAGTGGCAGGATCGCTGTGATGTTAATTGGCAGCGAAAGAGCAGCAGCTGCTCGCATAGAAGCCAGAATGACAGCGGCGCCGGTTAGATCACCGCGGAACTCGTCCATGCCTTTGCATTTACGCAGATTGATGCCTCCCGAATTAAAGGTGAGGCCCTGGCCCACCAGCAGTAGTGGTTTGTCCTCTGGTGCGGTTCCACAGTAGGCAATCTCAAGCAGCACTGGCGGTTCGCAGGACCCCTTAGCAATCATTAGGAATGAGTTGAGACGCTGCTGCTCGATCCATTCCATGGTGCGCACCTCCACGGTGATCCCGCAGGGACAAAGCGCATCCACAGCGGCCTGAGCGAATATGGTTGGTGTCATGCAATTGGCTGGTGCATCGGACAGACGTCTAGCCAGATTCTGTGCCTCCGCCTTGAATAGACCACGCGTCCATGAATCCAAATCGGGTGAGCCGTGCAACTCCAGTTTGGGCACAGTTGTACGATATTTCTTGCTTAGATTGTCATCATAGCGCCAGATGGCGAGAGCAGCTCCCTCAGCCGCCTGTTCCGCATAGTCCATGTGATCCACGTGCACCTCAATGCAATTCAGCGCTTGCAATGATTGGGCACCAATGCCGGCGGCAACGCGCACATTCTCCATGCCCTCATCCAACATTTCCAGCTCATTGAAGGCAATGCCCTCGAGGCCCAGACCCACAACGCAAATGGATCGAAAGTCGGTGTCCACATTGTTGAAGACCTTGCCGCGACCCAAGCGACCCGTGATCTTTGTTTCACAAATCAACTCAGAAATCTTGCCATTCACACGATCATCAAACTTCTCTCCAGCGGGCGTCAGTCTGGGACCCTTGCCACTCTCCTTCTCGTACAGACCCAATACTATACCCTTGCCACCGCCGGCACCCTTGGAGGACTCGCAGGATGCATAGCGATGCCAGCTGGTCCTGTGCAAGCGAATATACTTCACGAAATGCAGCACACGATGTTGTCCACGCATAAAATTCATAGTAATGATTATTTCAAATGTCTTCCTCAGCGCTTACGGAAAATTGTTTTATTTTCTGATTTTGGATATTGAAATGGCGTGGTTCGATGATTTACGTAAATAAAAATAAAGTGATTTAACTAAAATACAAAATTTACATAAGCTCTTATCTGGATGTAAAAAAATCTCGAATGAATGCCTGAACGTAGACAAACTATAACAGACACGTTGACAATAACTGAAAAGCAAATGAAAAGTTGATTTGTTAGTTACTTTCTGCTTATGTGAAAATATTTAATGCCAGATCTGACCAGCAATGCATTAACATACGCATATTGCTTACATCATCTGCGCACTAAGCCAAATGACGGCCTTTTATGTATTTTCATTTCTTTTCAACAACAAATGTTTAAGTTGCAAACTCACCAGCAGAAGTTTAGAGCTATCCTTTTTGGGTCAGCCCCGAAAACCGCACACAGTATTTTTCTTGGAATATTGGTACACGTGTCTGTCTGATCGAGTGATCCTTCAATTTATCAGTTTGAGCTAGGAATGTTCGCGGTTTAGTCACTGTCACTGCCTGAAATTGTTTGAGTTTTGATAATATTTGTGTGAAATGATTTGAAGGATTCTTTATATGAAATGAGTTGACGTTCAGCTAAGTTAACTATCAAGGCTGCTATGTTTAAGAAGTTTTCAAAATTCTGATTGCGATTCGAAAGAACAAAGAGCATTGACATTAGCATGTGAAACTTACCAGTTTTGCATTTGTCAAAGGCTGAGAAAAATTGCTACTTTCTGATTTAAAAACATTCCCATTTTTTTTTTTTTTTGCCTATTCAACTTGTTCTTACCGAAATAGTGGCAAACTCTCGACTCCGCAACAGCCTTGTTTTAGTTTAAAACAACTGTCAGAATGCTGCCGAGAAAGTTTATCCTGTGGCCGTCGAAAAAATGCATATTTCCCACGTGACCGAAAACTTTTCCCCAACATCAACTGCCCGCCAGGCAACCTTAAAGGACAAGTTTATAAAAAAAAGCCGTTTGTTTTTTTCTTTGTGTTCAATAGAAAACGCTGTTTTATTACTTAACTTAGCTGAACTCTGTTCAAAAACTAACAAAATATTAAATGCGAAATTAATTATTCGACTGCAACATTGTAGTCCATTCAATCATTCAATCTTCTCCGACCAACAGATTGTTTTCGAAGGTAAATTGGCCTGTATGTGCTGCAAATATGGACTTAAAGGTGCCAGAAGAAGGTGCAGCAATGCTGGCGAGCAAACGTTGCAGATAGAGCATCTGAACCCGTCCATAGAGAGCCAACACCTCCCACGGTGATGTGCAGAAGTGTCCGAGAACCATATTCAGTTGTGAATAATTCAATATTAAATTAAGCAGTAGTGTGGTCAGCCAAGGCACAGCACACAAAACAAAGTAGCGCAACGGAAACAGTTGCCAGCTGGAAGGAGTCTTGCTTTGGCAAATTGGCTTCACCTTCGCTGCTGCTGCAGTTAACTTCTTGTTGGCGCCAATATTGTGTTTTTGGTGAAGCGCCTTGTCCGCTTCGTGTTGACAACGCCAGAAGCCAAAGACCATCAGCATTGAATTCACGATTGCAACCCAAAGCATTGTTTGGTGATATTCGTAGCCAACAGATATGTTCAGTTTGCGGGAGAGTTGCAGACTGATGGGTATAATGCTCACCTTCGCCTCGATTATTGGCCTTAAGTGGGCACATATGTGGCAGACCGAAAGGCCCAGAAACAACAAAATGTATGCAAATTTAGGAATCATTTCAACGGTACTGGAAATTTAACAAAAAATGTTTTAATTTTTCTATCGTTATTCTTGACTTGGGCCCAAACTGCTACTGCTCAATGTATGTTTGCTTGGTTTTATACAAGTGAAAGGAAAGATATTTTTTCTCATAAATAGCGTTTTTCGAACATGCTCTGTAATATCGTCGGTAAGGGCATCGCGATTGGCTTTGGTCACCTGGTAAATAAAAGAATCCGGTGCATTTCTCAGTCGTTCAACAATCGGCATCGGTTGTCTGGTTTGTGAGGGAATAGTTGCTAGAATGAGCTGTTTCTGCCGCATCAGCTCATTGATGGCAGATTCAAATCGATGGCTCAGCAACTCCATTTTTCCGATTTCATCAATAATCAGCAGCTGCTGTGAATGGGGTGCCAGTTGCAGAAGTGGCAGCGTCACATTCTCAAAATCCTGCACATACACTGCGTATTTGCCCACCTTTGGTCGACGTTGATTATCCAGTGGATTCTCGCGAGCCAAAATGCCTCGAGTACCGCTCACAGTAACCACGTCGAATCCAATCCGCTGTCCATTCGTTCGCACCTCTTCTGTGTAAAAACCGGCAAGTTTGTTGTCGCCGCCCAGTTTGGCGATTATTTTACGAACCAATGTTGTCTTGCCGACTCCTATGGATTGTTTTATTTATCTATTCAATTATTATTTGTTAGAATTCTGCTTACCTGGTTGTCCAGTTATCAAAAAAGTCGTTACTTTGTATTTTTCCATGCCGCTGCTCAACCAATATAGCGCTTATACAAATGTATCGATAAATTATTGCTCCACGTTTTGTGCAGTAAAAAATGAATCTTTGAAGTAATCACAGATTTTCAATTAGGAATGTAACGATGTGCATTAAAAGATATGCATTAAACTCTTATTAGTTCTCTTTAAATGTTCAACGCATTCAGCAGCGCATTGGATTTACAAATGTATTCAAAATGTTTTATTTGATGGGCTACAGAAGTCTTTAAGCTGATATTTTTACTTCTTGGGATAGCAAAATAAGGTAAGCTATCGATATATCGTAAGATTTGTGTTACACTTGCGTTATCTTGTCTACGCAAGTCAATTAATGTATTCGTTAATACATTTAATTATATATAGTTTTTTTTTTTTTAGATATAATAATATTAATATGAACAATTGCGGCTCAACATAACACGTTACACAGCACTGGTGCGGAAATCGTTATCGAAGTCTGTGCGATGTGGCGGTCTGCCGATTAATATCATATGTTTAGCGAGCAAGCGTTGCTTGGCGGCTTTTTGGCAGCGTGAATTTCATTTTTGCATTGCAATTTAATTATATTTTGCAAGTAATTTGCTGAGACGCGCAGCAAAATGGAGGGCGCAATAGCGCATGATCTTGCAAATGGTGAACAGCGCACCAGCGATGTAGCTGCCGGCTCAGTCTCCTTCGAAGAGCTCCAATTAAAGCATAGCATTTTAAAATGTCTCCAGCTGCACAAATTTGTGACACCAACTAAAATACAAGCAGCTGCAATTCCAATGGCGCTGGCTGGCATGGGTATGACACTCGAAACCTATCCCGATTATATATATTTTATTGCAACTACGTTTACAGATCTGCTGGTGCAGTCCAAAAGTGGAACGGGCAAAACGTTGATTTATGTGCTTGCCGCAATGGAGTTGATGGATAGGTCGGTCGCCAAGCCGCAAGCTTTGATTATTGTGCCCACACGCGAACTTGCCATTCAGGTGGAGGACACTGTAAACGGCTTGGCCTCGAAAATGCGCAACACAAGCGAATATTTGTGCGTTAGTTTCATTGGCGGCACAGATGTGAAAAGAGATCGCCTACGCATGGCCAAGGGACGCATTCTGGTCGGTACACCTGGACGTCTGCTGCACCTCATGCACAACAATGTGTTCAACATCTCGGGCCTCAAGCTGCTAGTGCTGGACGAAGCCGATCAGCTGTTTGCCACGGACACCCTGCAAAAGGATGTACAGTCGCTGATTTCATCGCTGCAGTCCCGTAAACAGATTATTGCCTGCAGCGCCACATATCCAAATGCGCTGGACGAGCGCCTGGCTCAGCTGATGCACAAACCAGTGCTGGTGTCTAACAGTGAGCGTGCCACAGTGCTGCTGGGCATTCGTCAATTTGTCTATGAGCTGCAGGAGCAGCCGAACAGCATGCTGGAGATGCTTGACAAGTTGACTGCCTTGCACAAGATTTTTGCTCAGTTGCCCTATGAGCAGGGCATACTCTTTGCCAGTTCGCAGAGTCGTGCCGATTCATTTCGCAACTATTTGCGACGCGATGGCATCGAATGCGATTTGATGTCGGGCGCCATGAAGCAAAGCGAACGCCTAGAGACCTTTCAGGTGAGTTTCGTATTTGCCATGACAATATTTTCTAAAAATTTGTTTACCTGTGCAGGCCTATCGAAACTTCAAAATGCGCACCATGGTTGCCACAGATTTGTTGGCACGCGGCGTGGACTTTTCGCATGCTAATTTGGTTATTAATTTGGATCCGCCCAATGACCTTGTTACTTATTTGCATCGCATTGGACGCGCTGGTCGCTTTGGCTCCAAGGGCATTGCCATTACATTTATTTCCTCGCCGCAACAGTGCCAACATTTCAGACGTATCATTTCTGAAGCTGGCACGGGCATGTCAGTGCTGCGATTTCCTCTGGAGAAACGTGATGCCTTCAACTTTTGGAACTACGACGACTATGATTTCCCCTATTTCCAAAAAACACTGGCGCGGGAACAAGAGGAGAACGAATTAAAGCGCATCAAGCAGCGGTGGAAGGCACAAGGAACTGATGAGCAGCTGCAGCACACAGTCTCAATTATCAACGAGCACAAACCTGCACAGCATTTGGATATAAATGTCAACTTAGTTGAGCAGGAGCTAAAGCAAAACGATGAACTAGAGGTGGTGCAGCCAAAAGCCTTTGATGAAATACAGTTCGTCTCTCAGATAGGAAGTGTGCCAGAAAATACTCTAAAAGATGCCAAACATGGATTTAAACCACAATTGGCTCTTGATGTAGTGCTGAATGTAGACAATATTATAGAAACTCAAAACGAGTCCTTATTGGCGACTGAACAAATTACTGTGAATAATAAGGATTCTTATAATGAACATCTGTCACCGAAACAAATATCCAACAAATCCAAAAATGCGCTTGATTTTAAAACCAAAAAACTCGATGGACCGCAAGCGTTGCATGAAATTTCTATAGAACTCAAAGATCTGACACTTTCTAATGAAATACCTGCAGCAGCTCCAAATTCGATAAATACTAAAACCTATTGCCTGGTTGCGCCTCCTACGGAGGGTAGCTCAACCACACTGCATCCACTGGCCATTTCGAACACTGTGGATGATGCCAGTAGCATAATATCGGACAGCATGGAGAATGATTATGATAGTGATGCCTCCTATAGCAGTTGCTATTCTGAGAGCGATGCGCAGCTCATCTGGCACTGTGCATTGTCACACCGAAAACTGCAAAAGCGGCACAATTCCCGACGTCATATGTGCATCTTCCATTGGCGTCATTGCAGCCTAATTCGAGCCACAACCCAAAAGCCAAGGAAAAATTTGATTCGAGCCACAAACGAAAAGCAGCCAAAGGTAGAGGTTAAAATAAGTCACTATCTAAAACAAAATGTTTTTAAATTGCTTTTCCACACAGAAATCTCTTAATGGGCAAAAGGAAGAAAATCTGTGGCTTGAACTTGGAGAAGACAATCAGAAGCAGCGAAATCTCGAAATAAATGTAAAATTCGAATGCGAGATATTTGGAATTTATAAAATGAGAATCTTCTAATTAATATTGTTTATTTGCAGAGTCTCATTCGATCGATCTCTAAGAAAACGGAATTCTTGCGTCTGCTTAAAAAGTTTAACAACGTTCCACAAATTCAAGAACGTCTGAAGGCCCATTTTAAACAATCTAACTTCGATATGCAGCAGTATGATCAGTGGATTGATCTGCTGTATGATGCAATGCAGCGCTTGTACTATGGAGATCATAGCAAGCCAAAGAAGTTGCCCAAATTAGCCGTGCCACGAATATCCAACCTAGGCAAAAAGCTAATACAATTCATAAAGGGTCCTACAAGTTCAGATCAGCATGATGATGATGATGGAAATGAGGAGCCTCAGCAGCCTTTGAACAAGTTGAGTGTCCATGTGATTCAGCAGATGAATATATTACCAGCAAATGCTGCAAATAATAATGCTGAGGACGCCTACTCCATAAATTCAGAATCCTCATTTGATAGTGATAGCATGGATGCCAATAGTTTGGAACTTGAGTATTCATCGAGCGGTTTTGTTGAGTCAGATGAGAGCGCATCTTCTGGAATTGATGAATCCCAATATGACAGTAATTCCTCAAGAGCATTCGACTCGGACGATTTCTATGAGGAAGAGGAAGATGAAGAGGATAATGATGATGATGATGATGAGGATGAGGATGGGGAGAATATCGAACGGCAGAGCATTGAAAGCGAGACGGACACGAGTTCCATAAGCACACTTTCCGCGGAGAAAATTGATGACAGTGATGAAACTGAAAGTGAATCCGAAACCGAAGTGCAGGCAATTGATGAAAATGGTGTGTATGATGCCCGCGCAGAGCTGGCATTGGCTCAGACGCGCTGGCAGTATTTGTTCCACATGCAGTATCAATTTATTGCCAACTATGTGGACAATTATATGGCAACCTATCGACGCCATCATTAAATACACTTATCTTTGAGCGCTATGAAGGCGCGATTCCTAGTCTCTAAAGTCTGACAACTATAGGAAACTCAGGCATTACATTTTTATTTCGAAATGGAAAACTAAGGAACAAGTTCCCAAAAATGAAGCTGCATCAGCTATATACTATATATAACTTAGTTATTAATTAAGGTACAAATCAGAAGAAAACATATTCTAAAGAATTATATGAAAAACTTTACGTAATAACAACTTAAATATTATATAATTTTATTGCAGATGAATTGCAATTTTGTTTTTTTTTATATATAAATGTATAAAATATATGAATCTTGATTGAAAATCTCGATATTATTATTGGTCAATTGGCTACCTTAAAATTATGTTGCTTATAATATGTGGCATCTATTATCAACAAACAAACTCTGAGTGACTTGCTCCTGTAGTTGCTTAAGAGATGTGATTTATCTCTTTGACGTTTAACTAATTTTTAGCAAAAACAAAACAACAAAAAACTACTAGCAAATTATGGCGCCAGCACAATTGTGGATCATTAATCATGTGTAGTCGGAACGGGTTGCTGCATTTGCAGCAGCAGGAGCTACATTGTTGCGATATGCCGCTTACTTGTTTCAATGGAATGGAAGAGTGGGGCTGGGGCTGGCACTGGCACTGGGATGCCCAGGCGTTTTGCGTCGGTGGCAATCTCAAAACATTCGCCCTGCGGTTATTGCGCACGAAAAGCGGCGATGCCGATGCCGATGTCGATGCCAAAACGTCATTGATCTCCGCTCTCTGCTCTCTGCTCGCTGCTCGCTTCTCGGTGCTCGCGTGCACTTGCGTTCCAAATCCAATAAGGAGCGTGAGAAACAGCCGGCATGAATGCAAAGTGAGCTGGAACAACCAACAACGACCAAATTTTATATATGCTAGTTGCGTTTGTTGTTGCTGCTGCTGCTGTTGCTGTTGTTTTTGCTTGGTCAAACTCGGTTCGATTAGCGAAACGCGAGATGCGAAAAAATGTGTTGTGCATTGTTGTTGTTGCTGTTGTTGTTGCTGTTGTATATGTTGTTGATCACAGTTGCAGGTGTTAGGCTTTATAACGATGTTAACATATTTATGGCTCACAACAAAATAAACTACAAAATTTGCTCAACGCAATAACTATTTTGCGGTTAACATTTAACCATAAATAGGAGGCCAAGCAATTTGACTCTCGCAAGTGGAACGCACCCGATGGGTAGCATTCGAAAAAATACACATATTTGTAAAGCTTATTAAAATTTTTGAGAGTCGCCAATAATTATAGGCGACTGACCAGATAATTAAATAAATATATTTCTTTATGTAGTCAGGCGGCGGAATTTTAGAAATATTTTTAAAGCCTGAAGTTTAACTGAACCATTAGAATATAACTAATAGCCGAAGGTAACAACGATGATTTTAGTGGATAATAAAAGATGTGGTAGGCAACTTGGGTGAGTAATAACTCTCAAGCATAAACTTGCGACGACTAAAAAAACATTAGATAATCTTGTTCTTCTTGTGCGCTGACTAACTTTTGCATTTTGCTTTCATGACACTTTTTGAGCCATCAACTTGAGATCCCAAAAAAAAAAGGCTTTGAACGCCTCCCTTTTTGTTGGTAGAGGAGTGGCCAGCACATATTTATGTGGCCAGTTGTATGACGCCTGTGCAAGCATACATAAATAAAAGTCATCATTAATTTAATTTAATATAAACAACATGGCATGCCTGCAATTATTCACTCATTCTCCGAGCACAGCCGAACCAAGTGACGAAAACGTATGCAAAAAAAAAACCAAAAAAAAACCTACGAAAAACGCCAGCGAAACGCACGCGACGCGAAGACGACGACAAAAACGCGAACAAAAAATATAAAACGTTGACAAAAATGATCTGTGGGCAATTATAATGAATTATTTTGACACTTAGGGTTTGCAATGCACAACTAAAAATGCATAAAATTAATTTATGCTCGGCTGTCGACATGAAACGCATTTTATTGCATTTTAAATATGATAAATAAACTTGCATTTTGGGCCAAATACATTTTGGCCTTTATTTATGCAATTGAAGAAAAAAATACAACATAGAAACAGCCATTACAACATACATAAATTGAAACCTACGCAAGTGCGGCCTGTGCAACGTGCAACAAAGCAAATTGCATTTTTCACTTAAGTGCCAGCTACAACATCTACAACATCTACAACATCAGCAACACCAACAACAACAGCAAGAAAAACTTTTATGTACACAGCTAGGAGCGCCCAGGTCGCTATGGCAGTGCCATGAAGAATTGCAGGGAGAATCTGTTTTTAATTGGTGAAAAATAGCTCAAATTGTCTACGCTGATTTTTGCGTCGACTCCGTTGTCGGCTTTTGCCCCAAAGGGTATTTGCAAGTAGCACCGATCTGACCATGTATAACTTGCCACAACAACAACAACAACGGGAATGGGGTAACGGCAAACAATAAAAGCGGCTTACTGCCTTAACTCGATTAACATCGCCACAAAGATTTGTAATGCTAATAAATTGTACACATTACAGTACAAAGCGAAAAAGTGCACGTGTGACAGAGATGGGTAGAGTGTGCCAAAGAGTGAAAGGGGGGTGGGGGAAAGTGGTGAGACAAAGAGATCAGGGCCCACAGGTTACGGTCGAGACCCACAGTTGAACAGTTGCAGTTGCACTGAAAAAAAAACTCCAAATACGAGCAATTAAAACGGGTAAAAACGCATAAAATGAACAAAGTTTCTCGTTGCTCAAGTGATTATATATTTAGAATATGGTTCTGCTAACTTTTTTATGGCTTAGTACTGAATTAAAGTAGTGACTAATTGGCAAAAACAAAAAGTTTACAGCGTCTATCGATTTCCGATCTGTAATATTCAATAATATACAGCTGCATTGCAAAAAATAAGCTGATTTAAAAATGCTGACTTCGGCAGTACACTGTAGAAAAAATGCATGCGAAAGTCCTCATATACAAATGCTAAGAAAATAACGGCTCATATGTGGAACTGAAGAGCGACATTGTAGTTTCGCTCAGTGCAGGCCACAATCGAAATGCCGCGTGACTTTTAGAACGTCAAATCCAACGAATGTGCAGCTTCAAATGGAGGCGATGCCAACTTGAATCGACTTGCTTAGTTGCAAAGTGCGGCTTTTGTGGTTCCCAGGCGACTTAGAGCGAAAAACATGCGAGTCGCTTTAATTGTTGCCGGTGCTGCCAAGTGATTTTTCTAATGCAATTTTCAATGGCTTACGCAACATCGCTGCAACAGTCACCGCAGCAACTGCAACTGCAGAAACAACAATAATGGCAACATTTTTCAATGTTGCGAACCTACCGCCGTCTTCAATGTGTTGCCCGCATAATTACCCAACACAACAGTGCATTTTCGAACCCAAACCAGACTCAGAGTCCGCGTCAGAATCAGTCAGTCATCCCGGTTGGTAACGTTCTCTGTTCCCGTCTTCGACAGTGCAGTCAGCCAGTCAGCCAGCCAGACAGTCAGCGGTAATCATTCCACGCATACGCGCATATTTTGCATTTTAAAATTGTTGCATTTTACGCATTTTTATGACAAGCAAAACTCTTGCACTGACAGTCGACAGTCGACAGTCGACCACTGAGCAACCACAGCAGTGAGCAGTGAAGTCCACTTTCGAAACGGCGGCGAATGGCATCCAAGTACAGATGGTGACCTGGCTAGCTGTTCGCCTGTCCAACTCTCTGTCTCTTTGTCGGTGTTTCGATTGGTCTCTTGCCACACACACAGACACCCACAGACACACACAGACACTCACACACAAGCAAGTGATCATAATTAAATACATGTTGTAAATCACACTGAATATTTACAGTTGTTTTTGCCTGTGCATATTTTGTAAATAATGGTGGGAATTGTAAATCAGACAACTGACTATGTGAAAGGAGTACTTGACAAAGACTCTTCCTTTATTATTGCATTTAACATTATTTCAAGTTGTTTTTTTAGTTTTTACTTGAACATATTATAGGAATTATCTAATTTCATTTACTGTATTAACTTGAACTGTTCTCTCTAATAACACATTTGGAACAATAGTTAGTAATTGTATCGGTGTTCTTGCTATATTGGTATGCTATATGTAGTACAGACGTAGGTAAGACCAATTTTCTCAAGTTTCATTATAGCAACTCCCACTTATAAGTACCAAGTGAAATCAAATCATTTTAATGACTCAGTATTGCGCCAATTACAGCCTTAAGGCAATTCAATTGCATTGTATTTTTGTTGTAATACTTAAAATGTAAATTGGAAATAAATGTATATTTTTACGAAACCTACGTCAATTATATAATTTAAGCGTGAATTAGCAGTAACACACAGCAAAACAAATAAAAAGAGGAAAATAACCTTAGATAGCCACATAGATACTTGTACATAGATAGGCAGAAAAAAGAAAAAAAAAACGCGAATTACAACGGCAACAAACAAGACGGCGAAAACAAGAAACATGTTAAGTGCAGGCACATTATGTTGCAAAATGTCACTTTTAATTGGGCAACCTTGAAACATCAATGCGAAAAACGAGCGAAAGAACCGCAACAGCAACAGTAACACCAACAACAGCAACAGCAACAGCAATATGTTGCTGAAGGCCACCGCGGCAACAGCAACAGCAACAACCACAACAGCAACGACAACGGCAACAATGACAAACGGTTAACGAGTGGAGCGGCAGATTTAGATACCGAGCACAAACAGACACATCAAAACGCCACACTCAAAAAAAAATATATGCCCTACAAGTGAAATATTTCTATATCTTTTTCTCATTGTAAAGTCAAAGGATGATATTAAAAATCACAATATGGACTGCTCTTAAATTTAGAAATAGTCAAATAAGGGCATTCATTCAATTCATTTTGTATCTAATTATTTCCAAAGTTAAAAAATAATGCTTCAATTATTATAGCAATTTTTGCATTCAAAGACTACTATTTTTCTGAGTGTAGGCATGAGGTGGGCAAGGGATTGATAGACGGGTTAACGGACGGACGGAACGTCGTACGTTGTCGTTTGCCGTTATGTGTTACAATTAGCAAATTGCATATTTATGCTCGCATGGCGTTGAGCCACGCCTCCCTCAGTCGCCCCTCTGGCTAACTGACAATATAAATCAATCATAGGCGTATGTGTGCGTTTCGGTATGTATGTGTGTGTGTG